CCCCCCTGCAGTATACATAATGAACGCAGCCTTAGACGGTTAGACAAGAGAACCAATTAAAATGTAGAATGGAAATAATGCATCCCAACTTTGGGTAGTGAAGACATTGGGTAGTAGATCCATCCGCCCTCAAAACCTGAGTAGTTGTCCTTGTTAAATGGGATGTTTAATGGTAATTTCCCGGGGGGGGATTTTATTGAAATTCGGGGGGGAATTAGATTCCATTTTCTTTTGTCCATACAGAGGCATAAACTGACCGAGTGTAACCTGGCACTAGTATCCTTGCCGACGGCTAAACAACAACAAGCATTCAATATATTGAGCATTGAATTTCTGTCCTGAAAAGTTTCTACTTTCGATGTCCGATTTTTATTCAAATGAATAACTAGATAAAAGCAGTGCTCGAGAAAGCTAACATGTCGGTACAGAAGCGCCAGAGCTTCGAAGAACGAACAGAATTGGACGATCGTTTGACGAGCAAACATATTCGAACGCTTCTTCACCTTCAGGATGTGCATGGGGAAGCTGAACGACTGAAAAATCGTGTGGCTTATCTGGAGATCTGTGAGATCAAGGCTGAAAAATGCGACTTACTAGAGAAAGAACTAGAGTATCTTAAGGTAATGGTTGCGGTTTGATAAAGCTATGCTTTATTAACATGAAAATGTTTTTCTGTTTTCGGCTGTCCTTTTGCTTTCTAAAGCGATTGTAGACTGCTCTTATATATTTTAATAATAAACTGCTTGTCGAGCTCCAAGTACAGAGAGAAGAAGAAGAGAGAGAAGCAACTTTCTTGTAGAACAAGCTTGTACATGCCGCTTTGTGCATTCGTTATTTTAGATGCGGGAAGAGAGGAAATAACATGGACTATCAAATGAACAACCCTCTTTCTCTAAGAAAATCATAAAGATGTTACTTGGCAGAACTTTCCGGTCTCTATCTAAAAATGTTTTTTATTTCTCCTATGGAAAAGGATTTAGATTAGGTCACCTCCCTCAGGACATTTCAAAAACCACAATTCAGCATATACCCTGTTTCCAACCCTGGGAACCCTGTGGAAATTCTAGCCCCATATAGTGCACATCCCCACCTACTCCATCTGGGCCCGCGCCGGTTGCACGAAGGGTTGCTAGCACTATACAATGGATATGTCCTAAACCAGTAGATAAGTGGGTGCTGTTATCTAATACAAATTTATCCACTGGATAAGATTCATCCTTCGGATAACTATCCACCCTTCGTACAACTGGGCCCAGGATGTCTAATTCTGGAACTAAACAGACCTTTTTACTTTGGCTGTAATGTTTTTCTATTGTGTGTGGAGTAAATTGGAAATTCCTAGGGGTTGGGATGTCAGAGGAAAAACAAAATTACAAGGTGTGTATGAAAGAAAATTGGAAATTCCAGAGGGGTGGGAGACTTATTTTTCACAATTTTCTGGAGCCACACATTTCAGACCACACGTTTTCTAGGAAAGCACAGATGGTGTGCACGGCTAATGTATCACCTCTCACCAAAGCAACTGATCAGGTTTGAGTTCCTGACAGGCTTGGTGTCAGTTCTTTCCTGTGCTTTGAGGTTTTTACTTTAGGTTCTCCTGTTTTCCCCCCTCCGTAAAAATTGACTCCTAAATTCCAATTTGATCTTAAGTGATATTATTGATAGGGTTAACCTCATATATCTCCTTTCACACTATAATGCAAAAAATTGGTTATATTTATTATATCATTCTTCTTGGAATAAGACTCTTTTTTTGGAGTTGTATTCATGTTCATTTGCAATCTCATTCACAACTATTAAACAAAGAAATGATACTCTAGAGAATGACACAATTTGAAATTGGAAAACATTGCACCCAAGTAAAGAGAACTATTGACAACATGATACTTATAAACCATGCAGTATAGTTGATTAACTTCATGACTGTGACTGGGATTAGTGCAGCTTTGGAAGTGTCTTTCATCAGACAGGTATAAATACACACAGTCTGCTTAGTCATCATACATAACATTCCTGAGTAGTTAATAAGATATTTTAAGGTATAAAGATAAAAGAATTAGTTTTTACATTTCATGCTAGATAGAATAAAATAATAATGATTAATTTATAATAATTAATCTGTTATTATTCACTACTGACAGAAAATAAAACTTTTGTTTATTTATCAAGTTTACATTTTTATATATAATTTCTATAGAACATGTATGTTCTTGGCATATTAGCATTTTTATCCCAGGGTGGGGGGGGTACTCCACCAGAATTTGGGTAGGAGTGTTCCGCTGGGATTCTGAAAGGGGTACCCTGTTTATGATAAAAAAAACTCAAATTTATGGACCCTGTTTATGACATAAGATATAATTTATTGCACTGAGTTCCTGTTTCAATTATTATGTCATCTTGTGTATCGTTTTTTTTTTTACAACCATAATAACCAGTTTCGGTCAATATGAAAGTAGAAACCCTGAATATGACAGGAAACTCAGGAAGAACTTGGAACTTGAGTGAAATTGCATACCCTGTTTATATGACAAGAAGCTTAAAAAACATATTACCCTGTTCAGCGGATCATCCCCGTATAGTCCATATATGGGAGTACCCCCCCCCCCAGATTTTTATTAGCTAGAGACCTCATGTATACTATTAATAGTCCCATAACACCAAGAATAAAGAATTAAGTCATCATCAGCATTATCACATAAGTTAGAGGATGGTATGTCAATGACAAGTACTTTGTTTGACAAAAGAGTAAAGCTCTCTTTGTTTTCATCAGAAGGATAACCTATATCAACACACAGTACTCTTTCAGTAGCTGTATAATCCCTTCATTCTTGGCAACTAAAATACCTGCATAACATGTCTTTTGTTGGTATCAGTATTTGTTCCCTTACTTTTACAGGAAAACTCATTTTTTGTCAGCCTTATCTCGACTGAGATTGTAGAACTGATGTTTTTGAACTACAATTAAAAGACCTTTTGCAAATTCAGTTGAGAATGTTTCCAAGTCAAGGTTAGACTTGATTAAATACAGTACAAGTATGAATACATCCAGTCCAACCTTGGCTTGAAGTCATTGTTTCGTTGTCACTCGTGTGAATTTGCAAAAGGTCTGTAATGACTATGAAGCCTCCATCTACTTCAACGACATTATATTACCATTTAATGCTAAATGTTTTAGCAAATATCATAGTGAAGACAAATTATCAACTAAGTTGTTTTATCTTTTTCTGTAGGGTGAACTACTTAAGTGCAAAAATACCCATGCTACAGCCRAAGAATTCAAAACAAGACTTGAACAAATGCAGAAAGACAGTCTGGCAAGGATTGACAGGAGCAATAGGGAATTAACTTATAAACATGAGCAAGAGGTTGGTTTATATTTCTTTAAGTTGGGAACCTTTCTAGAAATAGAACATATAGCCAATGCAAAGCAGGGTTGTGCTTGACACAAGACTGGTTAAAGCATCTAGAAGTATCACTTTACAGTGTGTTCAACCACTTGACTAAACCCCTTGAATTTTGAATAACAATGAAACAACTGCCATGCTGGTTGATCTAACAAGAGAAGCTAATAAGGAATGCTTTGTTATTGTCAACCAACCTATTATTCATATGCTTTATACCTATTGCTAGGTGGGATACAAGCTAGAGTCCAACCACATCAGTCTGTCACCTTACAACATTTTGTCAGAATAAACCAAGAGTTTGCTGGTTCCCATTTATACACTTTAAGCTCTTTACCAGGGGGTTGTTTGAAGGTGTGAACAAACCCACAACCCTCCCCCCCTTCTTTACAAAATTAAAAGTAAAAGTGGCATAGAACTAATCCACTGTTTTCCTATTTTGGATCACATGTCATTCCCTAGAGAAATATTTCTTTGTTTAATGGTTTTACATTAGAAGGCRCATGAATATGGATGCAACTCAAATAAACAGTTTTAAAGAGGTCCGTAATGCAAATTGACTGCACTTGCAGATTGATCGAATAAAAAGGCACATGAATGGGTGCAACTCAAACAAAGAATTTCTTTCTCGAGAGAATAACACGTGATTTGAAGAAAAACATAGACTAGGTCCATTGAACACCTAGAGTCAAAAATTTCGATCAGTAGACAGTCAAATATTCTTTTGTATCATTTGTGGACTGAGTTCATTAAAGTGATGCACATTTTCCCTACAGATGATGCGCTTAGTTTCTGAGAAACTTGAAGAAGCAAACAACTGGGCCATGGAAAAAGAAAAGGTACCAATTATCTTTCGTTGTAAGAAGTTGAATTTTCTTTGTGCAACCATGTTGAGGTAATTTCCCCAACTCTCAATAGCTTGTTGAAAAGATAAAGGAATTAGAAAAAGAAAATGGAGGTTTGAACATGAAGCTAGAAGACCTAGAAACAAGAATGCAACACACAGAGGTTCGTATACACTAGAAAGTTTAATTTAAAAGATTACAGTGTTATTGAAACTCTATATATAGTATAATTCTCTATACGTATAATTCCAGCAAAACAGTGCAAGCAGCCAGTTCTCAAATGTAATGCATCAGTTCTCATTAGTTTTGAGACCTTGGCTAACCAGTTCTAAAGAACTGACCCATACCATTTGAGAACTGGCCTCTCGAGCTGGTAGGTTAGAGCTAATGGAAAGCGCCCTATAAGTATGAACGTTTATTTCTGGGGCTGAAGCACATCAACTCAAAATCTTTGATCCGCGTAGAACGTAGAAAGATTGGATATAAAATAAATCTTGTGTACTGTATGAATGTTTATGAATTGACAATCGAAAATATCCCCAAAGAGTGACAAAATAAGCCTAGAGATTTATGTTGTCTAATAGTGTGCGGTTCGTAAGTGAGTGTGGAAAGTCCCTTGTCAATATTTGGACAGCTTTATTAAGCACTTGAATCGCTTTGTAAACAAGTTGTAATGAAGAAAGTTTGGCAACTTTTCATTAGTATCCCGTACCTTGATCCTTGTCATTAGTTTTAGTCTAGTGTTTTCTACAGACAATACATTTAAATCGTGAGTTGCATGAAGTATGAAGGAAGAAACGAAACGAGGAAAAGAAAGAAAGAAAAAGGAGTAAAGAAGGAGGGAATTTTTTGCGACAAAAAGGAAATAAGAAATAAAGAAAAAGGCGAAAGTACGAGAGAAAGTAAAAAAGGAGGAGTTAGAAGAAATAGAGAAAGAAAAATAAAAGAGATGGTATAAATGAATAAACAAATAATACGAAATAAAGGGTGTAGGAAGAAAGGAAGGAAGGAAGAAAAAGATAAAAAAGAGATAAAAAGCAGAAGAAAGGAATTGAATATAAAACCGATAGAAATGGAGCGCAATAACTGCATGATAATGAAAAAGGAAAGAAAACTAAATATAATGACAAATAATTTTTTTTTTCAAAGGTGTTCAATTCTAAGTTAGAAGACACTCACTGCACTCTAGAATCCATCAAGAAAGAAAATTCCGATCTCCAAGAGGCAAAAGTAACTTTACAAAAAGGGATTCGTGAACTGACTTGTGAGAACGACTCTCTCCGAAAGTCTTTAGACGCATTAAAAACGAAGGTCAAAGTGCTTGAAGTACAGTTGAGACAAGAACAAGAAACGCGGGAAAAACCCATTGAACCTAAACCCGAACAGCCACCACCGCACTTAACACTCGAACTCAAGCAACTTAAAGACCATATTTCCGAACTAGAAAAAACTATTGTTGGATTGAAAGAAGAGAACGCAGAGAAAGATCAAGTAATAGACTCGCTGGAGTTCAGTCTTCAAGACTCTTCACAAGCTCTAAAGAGTCTTTATAAGGAGAGAGATTTGTTGAAAARTAGAATAGCTGTTCTTCTGGGTGAAATAGAAGCACTAAGGTTCCAAACACCTGAAAGAAAGCAGACTTTCTCAGAGTTCATTCAGCTTAAAAGGGACTTTAGTTCGCTACGTGATGAACATGAAAAGTTGCTGAAGAAAAGAGGCTCAAAGCCGAACATTTTGCCTTGCTTGACTGCAGATTCCAAAACTGTTGCAAGAACATTTAGTGGTAATAGTTGGAAGAGTAAAGCAAGTAATAATTCGTAGTTTTGTAGGGGGAAAAAAAAAAGATTTTTACGAAGGAAAGTATTCAAGAAAGTTTTGAGCGAATTTCAATTCCCTGCCCTTGGAAAAGTGGCGTGGCAAGTGGCTTAGAACTTGAAAGATTGTCAATCCTATTCAACAGACAAGAATGATTTTTGCAATAGCAAATTGGTGTAGTAGACCGTTTGCAGCCTTAAAAGGCCCTGCCTAAACGAGGAAACAGTGGAATTGAGTTATGGTATATCATAGTTATAGCTGCGAAAAAAAACCCATCAATTTAGTCGGTCGCAGAACGTTTTCTTGATATACAGACAAACGTGCAGACAAAATTTGGGAACTCCATATCGTGAACTTTCGCTGATTGCATTCGCGGCCATAGTACATTTTTGGCTTGGTATGCAAGATGCAATAGCTGTATACGGGATTTTCCCCTGTGACTTGGTTTGAATCAAAAGTCTAAGAAAACCATTTTCTGGCTCAGTTTAGAGGTTTTTTCCTTCAATGATTCTCAATAGCACTAGAACTGTAATGTCATGGAAACTTTCAGTCAAGAATTAGTTTTAGGGGATTGTCTCCCGGTTCAACAGCCTATCCCAATCTGGAGGCATTAATACTAACTTACTAATAAATCACTCATGATTGTAAGCAGCACGGCTGCTAATAGCGCCTTAATATGCAGCCCGTAAAGTCCTCCACTGCAATGTAAAGCGCATTGAAACAATGTGAAAATGCGCTATATAAGAACCCCATTATTACTATTATTATTTATAAGTTCTGTCAAGAGTATTTTTAAATGTAGTTTTATGATAAAAAATGTATCAGCAATAAACACGGATTCATATCAAAATTGATTTGCCTCACTTTAATTGCAATAGATTCTTAGAACTGTCGCGTCTAGGAACTCGAGTGTCTCAAGTCAAGACCCTGACAAACGGTGCAACTGTTGTGTTATGTTTTCTCTCGTTTGAACACTTCCTGTAAGGTTGATATGGCGTGATGTTCTGCGACTTCTTTGTACCACTTGGCATAATTGGGTTGGATTCCTTAAGCTACGGACACCGGTGCCATGTCACACAACGCAATTTGTTGCACGTAATGTTACTGAAGTGGAAAACCATCCTATTTCAGCAAGATTGCCTGAAATATTGCGCACAATATGTAGCACCGCCTTTAATCATTGCAGGAAAGTTGCTACGTGTGGCATCTTTCGAAAAAAAGGCAACTTTGTAGTAAAAAAGAAGGTCAGTTCTTAGGCGCCTCAACACTTGAGTGTATTTTACAGTGCTCTCTCTTACAATTTATTTCGCAATTCTCTTGTAGCACAGTACTGCGGTAGTGAGAGAAAACAAAAACAAATTAGACCCGTGCATTCCTGTGCCCCCATTTCAAACCACGTGTTATTCTCTTGAGTATCGTTTTTTGTTCTCCTAATAACTATTGAGGAGAAATTTTGTATGTATCTTAGGATGTTAAATCACTAATAAATCCCGTTTCTTAAGTGAAAGGCATGTTGCCTGAAATCACAAATTTCTCTTGCACGTTAAATTAGGTCTGAGTTGCAAAGTAGAATACGAAAGAGAAATTTCAACCAGACGTTCTATATTCGTTCACTAAGTTGCCTGTATCATGCACAGAGGCCTAATACAGCTGAAGAAGCTGTTTCACAGAAAAGAATGATTTCGTTT